ATCAAAACCACACCCACATGAGTTTACGGCCGTAAACTCATGTATGTGTGTGTTCCATAGTTGTAAACTCTTTAAAATGTTTACTCTTGGGGAGTAAACTCAAGTCCCAAGTCCCTAGTGCCATTACACGTCCGAAGATGTCACCCGGGTCACTCCAAACGCTCTGATACCAATCTGTCACACCCCGAAAACCGAAGGCGGAAACATTTCCGGGGTTGACTCCACGTTGAGTATCAAATCCAATGCACATAGTAAGTAAAGTAAAACAACCAATACATTACATAATAAAGTTTTACAGTTGTTTCAAAAATGGTTTTCCACATTTTATCAGTTAAAAGCATGACATTAAAACATTTGAACATAATACCTATACACTGTTTTGTCCTCGGTAATACTCTACACACATACACGAGTGGAGGACTATTATATTATTACTAGTAAATTTGTTAATCATGTATGATTGGAGACACGTCCTCGGAGAACACTCCACCGAGATACGCGAGTGGAGGACTACACCCATAACCAGAATCTCCGGTATTTAGAGAGCGTGACTTGAGTGTATAGATCTATACGGGGCTGACTACCCCACACCTGGCTGCTAGCTACAGCCGAACCGATATGGTTCAAGGGTGACGAAAGTCATAAGTATGTGGACGACTTATTGCCACATGTGGACTACTTATTGCCACAAGTTTTAGTCTATTGTATGGTTATGGAACTCGCAATTAAGATAACAGAGATTTACTTATAGTAATAATGAATTTCTTTATACATCTTTTACATCTTTCACTTACTGTAACTAACATTCAGGAAAGTACGGGACTTTCCTGGGGAAAACATGGAAACCAATCACGATTACATCTTTTACATCTTTAACATCATTTACATTAGAAACCAACATGCAGGAAAGCATGGGGCTTTCCTGGGTAACACTTACATAACTAGAAAGAGTAACAAACTGGATAACATTACATCTTTTGCAATTTGTAACATACAATAAGGAAAGTATGGGACTTTCCTGGTAACACATGATAAGTAAACAAAACAGTTTAATCAGTCAGATAACCAACTATACATTTTCGCGTGAGTAGACATGTTTTCAGTGTACAAACTTACTATACTTTACTTACTATGTGCATTGGATTTGATACTCAACGTGGAGTCAACCCCGGAAATGTTTCCGCCTTCGGTTTTCGGGGTGTGACAGATTGGTATCAGAGCGTTTGGAGTGACCCGGGTGACATCTTCGGACGTGTAATGGCACTAGGGACTTGGGACTTGAGTTTACTCCCCAAGAGTAAACATTTTAAAGAGTTTACAACTATGGAACACACACATACATGAGTTTACGGCCGTAAACTCATGTGGGTGTGGTTTTGATGGTTTAAGGGCTCAAATGGACATAAGGATTGCTAGAATGGATTATCTAAAATGCCTTGGAACACTTGGAATGAATTTACATCATTTAAAACATGAGTTTACGGCCACACTCTTAGAGTTTACGGCCGTAAACTCACCCATGGCTAAGAATGGTTAATTTGAACTATAAAGGAAAATCACATGTGATTCTAATTAATTTTCTAAGCATTGTTATGAATTTAGATTACCATTTTACAAACTTTTAGGAGTTTACGGCCTAGAAGGGGTTCTTTGGCCGTAAACTCACATATGTAGGGCATATGTTGTGTTTAAGGTCTCCAAAACATTTTTAGATGAATCTAGGATTCACCACAAAGCCATTGGTTGAGTTTGAAAGCATTTTGACATGTTTTAAGGCACTAAATCACCATTTAAGAGGAGTTTACGGCCCAAGAGTATGTCTTGGCCGTAAACTCACTTTTATTACCCAAAAATCATGTTTAAAGTGTTCCAAGTCTAGATTAGCAAGCCCAAAGGTCATATCTAAGTCCCAACTATGATTTAAAGGGGTTAATTTGCTCAAAAACCCTTTGAATATGAGTTTACGGCCCAAGAATGTGTCTTGGACGTAAACTCACTTTTGTCCCTTAAAATGAATGTTTTAATTGTTGTAAGTCCCTTCCATTAAGTCATTAAGCCATTACTAATGTCTAACATTGCTTAGGAGGGGTTTTAGGGCTTAAAAACCCTTGATATATGAGTTTACGGCCCATGAAGGTTCCATGGCCGTAAACTCATGAATGTAGTCCTAAATCATGCTTTGAACTCGAATTTGAAGGCTAAGAAGGTTACAATACAAGCTAGGGGAAGTACCTTAGAGATTTGAAGCCTTAAATTTGAGTTTTGATCCCTTAAACTTGGATGAGGAGAGAGGTTGGTAGTGTTTAATGGTAAATTGACCAAAGGCTTCAAATGGAGTCTTAAACACATTTATATAGCGTTTAAGTTTTGGACACGGTGGAATTCTACCCGATACCGGTGTTAGACGAGGTTTTTGGTCGTACCCGATTGAGTTGCCGTAACCCGATACGGTAATTTTCTAGAAATATTCTGATCACTAAAGTTGGGTGTTAAAATGATTTCTAAATGTATTAAGACACCCATTAAGTCGTTTTAAATGTGTACTAGATAATGACTTAATTAACGGAAGATCGGAAATCGAAATCGGAAACGACGATTGGTTGCGCGAATTGTACTACGAAAGAGTTACAATAAATGATACGGAAATTTCGGGTTGTTACATTACCCCCCCCCCCCCCCCCCCGTTAAAGGGAATTTCGTCCCGAAATTCAAGTTTAGAACATAAGACAAGATACATATCATGGATAAGAAAAGAGATGTGGATACTTCTGTTTCATTGAATCTTCCCGTTCCCAAGTGAATTCCGGTCCCCACTTGGCATTCCAGCGAACCTTCACTAACGGGATGCGACTTTGTTTTGTACGTTTGACTTCTCGATCCATGATTTCAATCGGTTCCTCCACAAAGTGAGGAACCAGGCGATGACCATCCATTCCAACTTACCCATGCAAATCCGAGAAGCTCAGTTAACAGCCCTCAAACCCGAGAACATGTCGAATGAAGTCTTGAGAGGAATGGAAAAGAAACTTGAGATCAGAGGTGACGGGGTTCACTGTTTTATGAATCGAGTCTGGATTCCCAAATCCGGTGGATTCAGGGAAATAGTCATGGAGGAAGCACACAGAACCAAATACTCTGTTCACCCGGGTTCGGACAAGATGTACCTGGATCTCAAGAAACAATACTGGTGGCCAAACATGAAAGCTGAGATAGCTACATTTGTGGGCAAGTGTTTTGACTTGCGCCAAAGTCAAAGTCGAACATCAGAAGCCTTTAGGTCTGCTCCAACAACCCGAGATTTCCGAGTGGAAATGGGAGATGATTACCATGGACTTCATCACCAAACTACCCAAGTGTTCTAGTGGGTACGATACCATTTGGGTAATTGTCGATCGTTTGACAAAATCTGCTCATTTCATTCCAATTAAAGAATCATACAAGATGGAAAGACTCGCGCGAATCTACATCCAGGAGGTAGTACGTCTTCACGGTGTACCTGTATCCATTATCTCTGATCGAGATAGTAGGTTTACCTCCAGATTCTGGCAATCCCTTCAGAAAGCCCTTGGAACCAAACTAGATATGAGCACGGCGTATCATCCTCAGACCGATGGACAGAGTGAGAGAACAATCCAAACCCTGGAGGACATGCTTAAGGCATGTGTCATTGACTTTGGAAAGTCGTGGGATACACATCTATCCTTGATCGAATTCTCGTACAACAACAGTTACCACACCAGCATTAGGGCTGCTCCGTTCGAAGCCCTATACGGTCGTAAGTGCAGATCCCCTCTGTGCTGGGCCGAGGTGGGGGATACACAGTTAGCCAGGAGTCGAGTCCCCGACAGTGCTCTCACTGGTCCTGAAATCATCCGCGAAACCACCAAAAAGATCATTCAAATCCGTAACCGACTGAAAGCCTCACGTGATCGTCAAAAGAGTTACGCTGATAACCGTCGGAAACCATTAGAATTCCAGGTTGGAGACCGTGTCCTGCTAAAAGTCTCGCCCTGGAAAGGCACTGTACGCTTTGGTAAGCGTGGGAAACTTAATCCAAGGTACATTGGACCCTTTGAGATCCTCTCCAGGATCGATCCAGTTGCCTATAAACTCCATTTACCTCACGAACTCAGTAACATTCATCCTGTCTTCCATGTTTCAAATCTCAAAAAGTGCCTATCCGATGAAACCCTAACAATTCCCTTAGACGAGATCGAGATCAATGAAAACCTCAACTATACATACATATATATATATATATATATATATATATATATATATATATATATATATATATATATATATATATATATATAAAGGTTAAAATATTTGAGAACTTTGAATTTATAAGAAAATATATAAGTTCATTAATAAAATTGAATTTAATTTTTAGAATTTTGAAATTAAAAAGTAAGTTCATTAATAAAATTGATATCCATTTATTGCAATTATTATATTAAAATATTATGTGGAATTTAATAAAATAAATAAATAAATAAAATTCGAACATGCGGAAAATAAATTAATTCAAAATAACCACAAAATGGCATTTGGCAAATTGAACGAGAATGTGATAGATGACAAAAAAAAACATTTATTTATTAGAGATGATGTTTGTAGATAGCATTCCAAATCTAAAGTTCTAAATATGACATTTTCTCAATGTCATATGCAAAAATAGATATTCTCAATAAGAAAAAAAAAAATACTAAATTTTTACATTTTTGCAAATGTCATCTGCAAAAATGTGTGTTCTCACTAATAAAATAACGGCAATACTCATTTTCACAGATGTGAAAATGTGTGCTATTCATTATTTTTTTTTTTATCGAGAATGTCTATTCTTGATCAAAACTTGCGTTTTGATTACTAAACATTCAATTAGTAACCTTAAAATAAATTCTCAAAACCTAAAAATATGATATTAAAACCAACTCATTTGAGAGATTTCAGATTTTAGATATTTAAGATTAGAGAATTTTTATAATTCATTTTTTGTAAACTGAAAGAAAATAAAAAAATAAGCATTTTATGACCTCAAATTCTGGAGGCTACATTTTTTCAGATGACATTTACAAAAACACCATATTAATCTGCAAAAATTATTAAAACGGAGTTATTTTAACCTAATTTGTATATTTTGGCATATGAAAGAGATAAGTAAAACAGGGATAGATTCCTTCGGCTGAGGAGTTACAAAAGCGAAACATCCAGGTTCCTTCCTCGATGTGCGGGTTATGCAGCAACATCGTGGAAACATCAAACCACATCCTCACATCATGTCCTTTTGCGGAAGACACAATTAACAGGGTGCTTTTCTGGTATGGCATTCCTGCCAAACAATTTTCTGGAGTTACAGACGTTTTAGATTTTGCCCGGAATTGGGGTCATTGCCCAAAAAAGAAAGAGATATTGCTTTATATTCTATATGGAACATTATGGAGTATCTGGAATGAACGAAATGACAGGATATTCAAAGGAATGAATTCGACACCGGTGAAGACTGTGGACTTTATTAAATCAATGGTTTTTAGCTGGCAGAAATATAGGAAGCGCAAAGGTGATGTTATCGTGTGGGAGAAGTGGTGTATGTCATTTATTAGTTGTATATAGTTGGTGGTCTGTTCTTTTTGTTATGCCCCTACGTAAGATGTTTGTTTTAATATAATTACCGGTTAAAAAAAAAAGTAAAATTAATCTGATTTATCTTTTTAAAATATGATATTGATAGTAATAAAAACCAACAAAATTAAAGTAACACCAGACTTATTAATTTCTTTTCTTGGCATTTAATGCACATTAAGTTACTTCTAAAAAGGATTTTGCAATGAACTTTTGACGCAAATAAGCAAAGTAGTAGTTGTACTATTTCCTATAAAGAAACATGTTTTATGCATTATTAAGTTGTACCTTGCACTCCACCGTTTACCCTGTTTCTTTATTCTTTGATTAAATCCGGGAAACCAAGAACCCATCCACCGCCGTCAACCACCGCCGGGAAATCAAGAACACCCACAACCACCAAAAATGTCAATTTTCAGAATCGTACCATCAAATATCAAAGACTTGTGCTTAATCATCTCAAGTTTGTCACTGTTCTACCTCCTCTCGCATCCGCTCACCACCCCAATCCCTACCACCCCCACCGCTATCTCCGTCGTAACACCTCCTCCCACCACCATCCGCCACATCCTCTTTTCCATCGCATCTTCTCACAAATCATACAATAATCGAAAACCCTACCTTCGTCTCTGGTACAAACCTAATTCCACAAACGCAATCGTCTTTCTGGACCGCCCGGTAACCGATTCCAACTCCGATTCCGATCTACCTCCTGTAATTATCTCCGGCGACACGTCACGGTTCCCCTACACCTTCCCGCGCGGACTCCGGTCGGCAATTCGTGTCGCGCGGATCGTAAAAGAAGCGGTGGAATCGAATGAATCGGAGGATATTCGGTGGTACGTTTTTGGGGACGACGATACGGTGTTTTTCACGGAGAATTTAATTAGGGTTCTGGCGAAATACGATCATGAACGTTGGTTTTACATCGGAAGTATGTCGGAAAGCTACGAACAGAACTTTCAGCATTCGTTTAATATGGCGTTCGGCGGCGGTGGATTTGCGATCAGCAGATCGTTGGGTAGGGTTTTGGCGAGGGTTTTGGATTCGTGTTTGATGAGGTATCCCCATTTGTACGGAAGCGATTCTAGGGTTTATTCATGCTTGGTGGAGCTTGGTGTTGAGTTAACCCATGAACCAGGGTTTCATCAGGTGAAAAATGCTTTACCCTTTGACCTTGTAAAATTCATAGATGAACAAAAAAAAACATTTAAATTTTAGATTTTTCATGATTTTTTTTTCTTGATGATCAATTTTGGAATTTGACTCGACATTTCTTCAAAATAAATTTAAGTTAGCTAGTTATTTTGATTTGAGAGTAAAGGGTATTTTAGACATTATTTTGGACATTTTTCACTTGTGTGAAAAATGTATTTTACGTATTTTGGCACTTAAGATATTAAATTAGTATCTTTTGAGAGGGTTTGTTTTTGTCCTACCAAGATATATATATATATATATATATATATATATATATAAATAGTCTTTGAAAGCAAAATAATTATTAGCACTATTTCCGATGAAGACAACAAAAAGGGTAATCATATCTTTCAGTTAAATACATGTCAAACACAGTACAGAGAAAGAGAAACACAAACACAGTAAGAAGACCAGTTTGTAGAAAAATAACTAAAATCTCTCGAACCATATGCCAGGTGGACATTCGAGGCAACATGTTCGGGATCCTTGCGGCACATCCACTATCACCATTATTATCCCTCCACCACCTCGACCTCGTAGATCCCATCTTTCCCGGTTTGACCAAGCTCGAAGCGGTCAAACGTCTTTTCGAACCTGTAAAACACGATCCCGCTCGGATCCTTCAACAAACCGTGTGCTATGATCCTTCCAACTCAATCACGGTATCGGTTTCTTGGGGCTATGTGGTTCAAGTGTTTGAAGGGAATCAATTCCTTCCAGATTTGATTCAAATTCAAAAGACATTTGGATCATGGAGGAGAAAAGAAAATGCTTTTTCGAGACTTCATATGTTTAATACACGAGATTATAAAGATGTGTGTAAAGGTCCGGATACGTTTTTCTTGGAAGGTGTTGTTTATGATACGGATAAGTTTCATAGTTTGTATAAAAGAAATGTGTCGGTGAATTGCTCGAGAAGTAATGCGATACGGGATTTGATTGATATCAAGGTTTTCTCGAGAAAACTCGATGCAGAGAGCCAAGAGGTATGTGCATATTTATCCCTTTTGATTATGGTCTTGATATTTCAATCGATGTGTGTTTTTTGCGCTTTGTTATCATGACAAAGGGGTATTTTAGACATTTGACATGTAGTTTAATACTTGCACTTTTATATACTCTTCAAGGTGACCACACCCCGTCGTCAATGTTGTGAAATCTTACCGCCTTACAACGAAACCATGGTTATTGCTTTGCGGCGATGTGAAAAAGATGAATTAATTGCGATGTATAAATAAGGTTCTTTTATATCATGGGACTTAATGGCAAGGCATCCTCTCAATTGCCTACTTCAAAATACAAGGTAATTTGGTTTAGCTTTTTTTTTTTTGTGAAATCCATTCAAAGAAATTAAGAAATTAAGACATGGTATAAAATATTGTTCACACGGGCCATGTTTGTCTATTTTCAGTGGGACAAAAAGACGTGAATGTCCTTCTTATTCAGGATCACTATGAATGCGCTTTTAGAGGCCTTGGTTACGAAAAATGAGCATTCGAGCTCTTGTTGTAATACAAAAGCAGAGTGGATTACAGTATAGGTTAGTTATCAAAATTTCATATATAATAATGTATACAAGGCTATTGGTAGATTTATTAGGATATTGTAACATTAGCTAATGTGAAACAAAAAGCTGTATTATGTAAAAGTTTTGGTCAAATACAGAATTACAGCAGATTAGCTTATTAGGTGTCTGTATTTTATTGTGATATACTCTTGTGTACGACTGATCTCTATCCAACAATAAACTTTAAAAGAACAATATAAGTGGCTTTTCTACAAAAACGAAAACAAGAAAGGCTGGTTCATTTAAATTTACAACAGCTTGAGGTTTTTATAAAAGTGATTATAAGCATATACGATATCTTTGATTAATTAATATGGTATCAATACATAATAATTGGAGACGTCTTTTAGTATTTGACAAATTATATTTGTACATATTAAATGATCAAAAAAGACATGAGAAAAAATGTAAATCGGTGTGAACGTCATTGGTTATGAAGAAGAAAAACAAGCCTACGGGTTCATTGGGATTATAGTAGGGGTGTCAATTGTTGACACGATACAATAAAAATACATGATACGAAACGAAATTTGGACGAAATTGAAATTTGAATTTGTGTTTTTGTCGTGTTCGTATCAAATGTAAAAAACACGATGTCGTATCGTGTCATGTTTGTGTTCAAAATTCGACACGAAATTGACACGATTTAGCATTTATTTGTCATGTTTTTCGTGTTTGTCGTGATTTCCGTGTTATGTGTGATTAAATATTATTAAATAAACTAATTATTATATTATGTTATCTTTGTCGTGTCGTGTCGTGTTTGTCGTTTTTTTAGTTGGTTCGTTTTCGTGTTAGTTAAAAAAAACACGACATCGTGTCATTTCATGTTCGTGTTACAAAAAACATTGTCGTGTCGTGTCATGTCGGACAGAAAACGACACGATGACCCGATTTGTCACCCTTAGATCATAGGATTAGAGTAGTCGTAGACGGAAAAATTTGTTTCCGTGTATAATAAACATTTTCAAACAAGCCTTTTCAAATATGTAAGAATGATATGTCTAATAAAAAAACGTTTTTTTTAAGTTACTAAGCATTTTTTTTATTGCATCAAAAAAAAAAAAAAAAAAAAAACTTACTAATGTTATCAACTACTAAAAGACGTAAATGGATCGTTAACAAAATAGTTCAACATCTCGAAAGGCTTAAGTCAGTTGTGGGGAAAATTGTGGGGAGGCACAATCGGCATATGTCGCAGGAAGAAGTATGGTCCATTAATAGTTAATGAACTATGTGGGTGGGCAAAAAGTATCAAGAAAAACATTCTACTCTTCAAAGTGGACTTTGATAAAGCGTTTGATTCCATTAACTGGGAATACTTGGATTCGATCTTAAGTCAAATGGGATTCGGGACAAAATGGAGAAAATGGATTCGTGGATGCTTGTCATCCTCAAGAGCATCGGTGGTTGTAAACGGATCGTTAACAAAAGAGTTCAACATCTCGAAAGGCGTCAGGCAAGGTGATCCACTCTCCCCTTTTCTATTTATCATAGCAATGGAAGGGTTAAATGCAGCAATGAAATCGGCGGTGGAAAAAGAAATATTCAAAGGAATACAAGTACTTGGAGATGGTTCGATAATTTCACACATTTTTTATGCAGATGACGCATTGTTTATAGGGGAATGGTCAAGGAATAACCTGAAAAACCTTGCAGCTATACTCAAGTGTTTTCACGCATCCTCAGGATTGAAGGTAAACTACAACAAATCAAAAGTCGTGGGTGTTGGTGTGTCATCAGAAGAAAATGCTAGGTGGACACAAATTTTGGGATGTGTATCAGGATCTCTTCCCTTTACATATCTTGGAGTACCGGTTGGTGCAAACATGAAGCTGATAAAGAACTGGACACCAATAATTGATAAATTCCAAGCTAAGCTTTCTACATGGAAATCCAAAACGATATCATTCGGAGGAAGACTCACATTAACTAAGGTGGTCTTGGGTAATCTTCCAACTTACTACATGTCACTTTTTAAAGCCCCGATCGGGGTCATTAAATCATTTGAAAAGATACGTCGGAAATTCCTATGGGGTGGAAGTGAGGAAAAGAACAAAATTCATTGGGTTGCATGGGATAAAGTAATTGCTCCCAAGGAACTCGGTGGGTTAGGAGTGGGATCTATTAGAGCATTAAACGTGGCGTTGCTGGTGATATGGTGGTGGAGAATTAAACAAGAAACATCTTCTCTGTGGGCTAAAGTTATTGTAGGAATACACAATTTAAAAAACAAACCGATCGATTACTTAGCAAAAAGGAAATTCAAAGGTGGCTGGAACAATATTGTTGGTGTGAAAAAGGACATCGAAGCGATGGGTTTTAGATTCAATGAAAATTTTCAACAAATAATAAAGTCTGGAGATAATACACAATTCTGGCAAGATACATGGGCAGGCTCTGAAGCACCTGATGGCATTTATCAGGTAAATCTACTAAGGAGGAAAATTGATACACAACCTTCTATATCAGGTAATCACAACCAACTCACCTAGAGTAAACTCATTCCCATAAAAGTCATAACTTTCATTTGGAGAGTTGCATTGGAAAGGATCCCAACAACTATGGCACTTTCACAAAGGGGAGTCAAGATCGAAACAGACAAATGTAGTGCCTGCATAGGTGAATCGGAATGTGAAAATCATGTGTTGATTAAATGCCCTTTTGCAGCCACTGTTATACAGAAAATAATTAGGTGGTGTGGTGTTACTACATGTAATATTCAGAACATAGACGAGTTGATCCGGTTTGCAGTAAACTGGAGCAGATGTCCAAAAAAAGGGAAAGATTCGATGCAATTTGTTATGGGATGCTTTGGGGAATATGGAGAGCACGTAATGAACGTTTATTCCAAAAGAGATTTGCTAACCCTTGTGGAGTGGTGGACAACATCAAGGCAATGGTGTATACATGGATTAAATGTAGGGGAAAAAGGTTTAATTGTAATTGGGAAGACTTCTACACTTTCCTTTTCTTGTTTTAATTAGTTCCTGTAATTGTACTTTACTCTCAGATAGTTACTTACTATTCTGATTGAGTTTACAATATATGGTTGTTTCCAAAAAAAAAAAAAAAAAAAAAAAAACTAAAAGACGTAACTGTACGTCTCATTTACTGTTGGCAAGGTTTTCAAAATCTCGATTTTGATCATAAGATCTTACGTTTTTTAGATCCTATAAGTGAAAAATGATTTCAATCACATTACGATCTCGATCTCACCTCTTCAGTTTTATGATATATCCAAGTATCAAAATTTCATATTTTCAATTTGAAATCGAACATCAGAAATTGCAAAAAATCTTGTAAAGCATCATCATTTCATCAATTCATCTTGAATTAAACAAAACAAATTCATAATAATCCATTTGTGATCTTATGTCAATACTTGTACACCATCAAAATGATTTTTTTTATTATTAAGTTGTTTTCTTAATTTTTACGGTTTGGAACAACAAAAATTATGGCTCATGCTTAAAAACTTAAATTTGACTCATTGTCGACATTTTTAATGATCAAGTTATCATGTATACTTCACACTCATCATCTTGCTATAAAATTTGACTAAGAGTTCATTTTGGTAGAATCTTTCCAATCTCAATCCAAGATTTTTGCAAAACTTAAAACAATCTTATGTAAGATTTCGATATTGACAACCTTAATTGTTAGGGACCATCTTTTCTTCCAATCAATGAATTAGGCATAGAAAATAAATCGGTTGTCTGAGTTATTTATTTTTTTAATCTTTTTTAGATAAAATAAAACCGAAGTAAACTAAACAACATGTATTCTTTGGTAACTAAAAACAAATTTGACAATTATTCCAATCTAAAACCCACATGTTTGTGTTGTATGTTGTATCTTTTTTTTTCGTTTCTTTTTGTCAGGGATGTAAAAGTAGCAACAGAAATCAAATTCATTTGGATTAATAAAAAAAAGAAGGGTAATATCGGAAAGAAAATATTATTTCCTGCTTGAAAGGTAGATACCCGAAACAATAGCCACCCCAGCAACAGCTACACCAACTGTTGACAGGACCTTCGTCACCGAAATCGCTGGTTTTGTTGTAGGCAACTCCAGAAGCTCTCTCACCTGCATAATGACCATTTTACCCTTACATTCCAAAAAAAAAACAAAATTTCACAATGTAGTAATTTAACCATTATATTTTTTAACATTTAATAAGATGCATGTTTCATGGTTACCCAGTTTCAGATACAGAAAAGCACAATGTAGTTTACCATTTGTTGATTATTATTTTTTGTTATCAATTTAGCTATCAAAATATTATTATTATTATTATTGAAATAAGTAATAACCATGGAAAATAATTGGTGACCTCAACAGGATGCTGCCAATGTTTTTTGATTCCCTGAAGGTGGCCTTTTCCAACAACTGCAACCACTGAACTATGCTCACTTGCTATTTTCAACAGGCTGGATGACATATACCTACATCCAAAACCATATTTATTTTATTAAATTATATCTGACAAAAAAAAAAAAAAAAACTCATGAAAAATGTATTATCAAGTAAAGAGTTTATATATATATTATAAAAACAATGATATTCAAGTAAAGAAGATACTAACCTGTCACGTTCATGTACAAGGGTTTCCATTAGAGTGGGATACTCCTTGCTCATTTCTTGAATAACAAGTGTCAACATGTCCACATCATCCAATTCCTTCAACTGATAACAACAAATATATAAACACATAAACATAAGATGGAACATTTTACAAATATGCCCTCGTTTAGTTTGTATGAGAATGAGGCACATACCATTTCATTAAGACGCGAGGAGCTTGGCAAAAATATTGACTGAAACATCAAGGAATACATCAGCTTTGTTTTATGCCATAGGGGCATTTTTGACCATGTTCGGCGTAATGTTATCTGTTCATCAATCACATAAACATTAAATATTTATATATTTTGTTAAATTACAGCAGTGTACTTTCATTTTTTTTTCTTATTGATACATTGAAAAATCTATCCAATGATAACTTGCTTTGTAATTGGATGATATTGCTATAAGTGGATAAGTTTTCTGAAAGTGCAATTTTATGATATGAAAAAATAAAAATAGGTTGTTTTTTTTTTTTTTTTTAAAAAAAGAAAAAGGAAATATATAAAAGTAGATTGTTATTTCTTACATTTACAGGACGATCACCAAGAATAACCTTGCCACCATACTTCATG